CCAAGACTGCAGGATAAGCGAAATTAATTCTACTCCAGCATCAGTTGCAGATCTACCTTTCGTAAATCCGAACTGATGCTGGTTCAAAATTTCATATTTATTAAAATGAATTAGCATCTGATCCAGCATTATTTTCTCAAATATTTTACTTAAGGCTGGTAAGATAGAAATGAGACGGTAATTAGAGGCATTTTCTCTTGAGCCTGATTATAAATCACAAACTGGCACAGCTTTGCTATATTTCTTTAATTTTGGAAATTTGCAACAATCTAAACATGGATTAAATATTTGGGCTAATAAAGAAGCAATATCACACAATATAAGATCTAATGCCCATATCGATAAGCCCCATAGGTCTTCAGTTTTCTTTTTACTTAAATTTTTAAAAGTCTTAATAATATCATTCGAACCTATGTGGCAAAACTTAAAATCTGGAATGGAAATATTAACATATTTATCCAGGTATGTTGCTGCCTCTGTGGGACAGTGTTGCAAATGCCTAGTAGTTTCAAAAGGTATATTTGTGAAAACATTTAGAAACTACTTTGCAACTTTATAATTTTGCCATTTAAATTTAATGTAAAATCCACTTTTTTTCATTATTTTTACCAATTTCCTTATTCACCATTCCAAGTAGTGTTAACTTTGTTTGCGGACAATTTTATTTTATTGTTCAAGTAGTCTGCCTTGGCTATAATACAGACGCATTTTTGAATACTTCCTAACATATTCATGGAGGTTAGGATCACAAGTTATTGATTTAATACTGTATATACATAATGTCTATCCCTGCTCTTTCTTATTCCCTTAGTCGCCTATTCACTGAACGAAAGTTTATGGCCTATGGTTATTGTTTTCTTTTTGTCAGACTTTTATTAAACTCTCTGCTAATCATACTAGACAGGGTATTGAAATCGCTATCGGGCTCATTAGGGGTTAATTTTAGCAAGGGTAGTTTATATTTAATTCTATCCCTAAACTTCTTAATTCTGTTTAGTTACAAGCCTACATTCATTTATAATAAAATTATTCTGTTTTTAATGTGTAGGTCTATTTTAAGGGCTTTATGATCCGATCTAACGCCACTCAATATTACTTGAATAATAATTTTACAATTCACTGTTATATTATCTATGCATGAGGCACAGGATGGGGTTACTCCTGGTGGTTCATTGAAGATGCAACTAAGATTAAAAGTTTCAAGAAGTGATAGGAATCTTACTTTATTCGGTGAATCGGTTAGTAAATCAAATCACCACAGAGGACTATTTGCTTTTTCATTTTAAATATTTTACTTAATACATCTTCAATATTTGACAAGATATTCAAAAGGTCTGATGAGAGAGGTATATATACACATAATATTAAATAACCTTCTGTCTTTGCACAAGCAATCTCACATTATCGTTCAACACAGTATGCAACAATATCACTTCTTTCTTTCAGTTTCAAAGTGTTTTTATGCACATTAATTTACTCATTTACATAAATGAGCTACCTTATCTAGTTAATAATAATCATAAGATAGTATCGTTTGCTGATGATACCTCTTTAATTTTTAAAGTAAAACGACGTTCTTTAAGTTATGACGATGTAAACAATACTCTTTCCACTGTAGTACGTTGGTTTAGTGCTAACAATTTACTGTTAAATAATAAAAAAACTAAATGTATTAAATTTACAACTTCCAATGTGAAACATGTAAAAACTGATGTACTTTTATATGGCGAAGCGCTGGACCCTATTGACTCAACTGTATTCCTTGGCATTACTATTGATGCTAAACTGCAATGGGGCCCCCATATCAATAGACTGGCGAGTAGACTTAGCTCAGCAGCTTTCGCGGTCAAAAAATAAGACAGTTACCTGATGTAGATACGGCTCGCTTGGTACAATTTAGTTATTTCCACAGTATAATGTCTTATGGCATTCTGCTTTGGGGTAACGCGGCCCACAATCCTTATCTGTAAGATATTAAGAGAGCTGCTATTCGTGCAGTTTACAATCTGGGCCCCAAAGAATCGTTAAGAAACTTGTTTAAAGAGATAAAGGTATTGACTGTTGCTTCTCAATACATTTTTGAAAATGGTTTGTATGTCCATAAAAATAAGGATAAATTTTCAAGATATAATAATGTTCATGATATAAATTGATCCTACCCACAAGTAGACTGCGTAAAATAAGTAAATTTTTATGGGACAATGTATACGTTACCACAGCATAATTCCAGAAAACGTTCGAAATGCATCAAAAGCTAAATTTAAAAAAGTGGTAAAAGAACGTTTGTGTATTAAAGGCTATTATAATATTAATCATTATTTAAATGATAACACATTCTGGTAATGAATTGATCGCTCCAGGCTCTTTCAATCAGAGTTCTTTTATTGTATTTTGTTATGAATTCATGTCAAACTGCTTATTTAAAAAATAAATAAATAAAAAAATAGCCCGCTGAGTTTCTTTCGCCGGTTCTTCTCAGTAGGGGAAAAAGGGGTAATGGGGGTAAAATTAAATAATTAAAAAGTTTGAAACAGAATCCTTATTGCAACCGCCTCATAACAAAGTCTACTTACTTGGCTATCGTTTGAGATCAATGGTCATCACATTAATAATTAACTTTGGCAAGTAAAAGAGTTAAAGTAAAAAAAACAGTTTTGACTCCAATTGCACTGAGGTAAGGGTAATTGTGGTCACCTTGTGGGCAATGAGGATAAAGCAAAATCTAACACTAATCGCAAACATATCCCAGCTCGCAGACCAGGGCCTAGGTAATCAACTGCGCTAGAAGTTGGTCGTGGTGATGGTGGCTTCAGTGAACCAACATGCATTGATGTGCCAGTTATTTAAGATTCTCCTTGACCTGATGCTGGGTCATCAATAGCATCTGACTCATCATAGTTTTGAATGGCACTAGTCTCCGATTGGAGCATTTCGGCTGGCAGAAAATCTTCTTCAGAAAACACGTCGGGGTTTATTGGGTAAATACCAGTAGCCCTAAATATCGATTCCCCTTTACTAATAGGTGAAACGTTTTTAAATGTCTTCCGCAATAAGGATGCTACTTCGTAGGGCGTGATCTTCTCTGCAAGGTAAATGACAACAACCAGTCACGTCCAGCCATTTTCGAAAACTGATTAAAATTGTGTTTTAAGTAGTCTTCAGCATATTCAATTGCCACTTTTCTAAATCCAAAAGTCGGCCAAATCTCTTTCTTTTTCAAGGCTGAACACAGTCAGCCGTCCAAGACGTGGTGCCAAGTAAGATTTTTTGATAAATCAAAAAATATAGTATACGCCAATTACAATACCTGTAATAGTGGCCCTAGTGGGCAATGGGGGTCACCCGATTCTCATTACCCACAAGCACTCTAAGAAGAAAAAAATTAAAAACAAAATATATTTTTGCAGCACACGTATTATATGTTTCAAATCATTACACTGAATGTCCGAATAAAGGCGCATGAAAATTAGATCAATAAATGTGATACTTACCGTTTATTTTACGAGAGAGGAAATTTATATCGGCAAGCCGCAAAAATAAAAATTATCTCTCGTTCCCGATGCCGTTGCCATACCGGCTCAGCCGGCTCGCAACGATTGTGAGGGACACATAGCGGAGTAGGGAGGCTATTTACGCATCTCTAGTGATTGGAGTTTTGTATATATGTGGCTGACCACTATTACCCACTGACTCCCATTACCTCTTTTTCCCCTACAGTGGCTTTCTTCAGAACCGGTGGTAGTGTTTTGACTATCAATAAGCGAGTGTAATGCTCCTATGTTGAATAAAGACATTTGATTTTGATTTTGATTTTATGTCTAGTATCGATTTTATTTATATAGAGAAGAGAAAAGATTGGCAGAAGTGTAGTCGTGAATACAGGGTATGCAGAAGACATGATAATTTGAAAACAAATACTGAAAAATACGTAATAAGAAACACTTCTGCTAGTTTCTACATTTTCTTGATAGTGTTATTTATGACGCTACAATTGTAATTAAAGTTCCGATACGTTATTTTGTTAGGAAACATAAAAAATATGAAAAGCCGATTAAAAGTTTGGATTAAATGCGGAAATGCAGTCAAAATAAGTAAAATTGATGTCTGCGAGCTGTACAACCGGGAGAATTGTTGTGCAGAGCCCTGCATGGATTTCATGTTTAATAAGCTATAAACCCAGGTTTTACAGAAGAGGCAAGCAAAGATGGTACAGTATATGGACTATTTTTAGGTTCCGTACCCATAGGGTAAAACGGGACCTTATTACTAAGACTCCGCTGTCTGTCTGTTTGTCCGTTCGTCTGTCACCAATCTTCATCTCATGAACCGTGAAAATGAGAGAGTTGAAAATTTAACAGTTGATGTATTTCCGTTGCCGTTTTATCAAAAAATATTAAAAAACAGAATAAAAGAGTATTTAAGTGGGGCTCCCATACTGCAGACATGATTTTTTTGACATTTTTATAGATAATGGTACGGAAGCCTTCGTGCACGAGTCCGACTCTCACTTGACCGGTTTTTATTTTATTTTATAGACTTACTTTCATATCATACTTCTGCGTTTCGCCGAAGACGTGGGTTTGATTCTCACAGCGGCGATAATCTTACTTTTTCTACAAGTTTTAATCACACAAATAAAAATAATTTGAAATAATTATTTAATAAAACTGTTTATCCTAGGGTCGTCGACAATAAATGTAGGTACTTTGAATGCAATAGGCGGAAAATTATTACATGTATATTAAACATAAAGATAATAATTTTTAAATACATGATTTTGCTGCTATATATTTATAATTATGGTAGTATTAACAGGTCTATTGCTATGCTGCAAATATATTTGTGACTTTCAATTTATTAAAACTCAACCTTTGTCCTACACCAATCAAGCACAAACGCCTTGGTCTTCGAAACTGGACCATTATAAAGCGAGAAACTCTTCCCCTATCGTTGTATTCACTGGTTCCTCCCAATGTGACCGCTCGGAGGATTCTAGATTACTCTTGAGTCAAACGTTTTCGTGTCGGCGGTGGAGTGAAGGAATCTGTTGTTGGTGGTTTTAGCGTTGCTTCTGATGAGTGACTCTTGATTTCGGTTGGGGCTGCTGGCCCCGTTTCAATAGTGACTGTTTGTTCGATGCCTGACGATTGCGCTTGTGCCTCTATTCTCGCGATTTCTTGATCTACTTTGGCCACTAAGTGTTCGACTGCTGCGGGCCAGCGGTTTGCTGGTACTGTGTGGGAGGGAGATAGACGTGCGTCAGTCATCACGGCCAGCCGAACTGTATCCGCGTATTGTATCACCGTAAGAGACAAACCTGTAACAAAGTTTTTCCTTAGTAACTTTTAGGGCAACGTCTCCAGTTTCGTTAGCACATTGTCCATACAAAAGCTTCTCAAGGACAAACTCACATTCTAAACACGGGACAAGCGCTTTGAGCGGACTTCAGGTCGCAACATAAGACAATTTCGAAATCGTTACGGGTTCTCTTATTCCATTTGTTAACAATGACATCGGCACAGAATATCTTTCGGACTTATTTTGTGCCAACACACCTATCTCATATTTGAGCCTGACACGTTCCTACGGTTGTGAACAACCTCATCCCATTACAGTCTTAATAAGATTATCGAAATGTTGCTAATTCTACCATTGCAAGAGTTAAATTACTTATAATGTAACTATCCATTCAATCACAAATTGCATTCAATCGATGCCCGTTAAATAATTACCGTTACTACAATACATTTTTGTCTTTTTTGACAAAAATGTTTTGAACCAAACAGTAAAAATGTAAAACAATAATGGGTACTTACTAATATTTGCCTGCGGGGGTCTCCAGTAAATGACTTGGTCGACTGTTTGTTTCCATAATGTTGTTCGAGCCTTCGCTTCGGGTGGGGCGTTTATTTCCGCGTAGGAAACCGCATACCGTCTCGACAGTAAGTTGAGTGTGAGCCTGGCGAGAGGCGAAGGCACCGACCGCGTTAGGGCCCCGTACCGTGTCTGCAAGGCCCAGGCGCCAGATAGTGCCTTCTGGCATTGGCACGCCTCCGATATTACGGAAGCGATTCGACGCGGGGTCCCGCCTATGGGCAGCGTTAAACAGACCATGCCTGCAACAATTACGATACAGAAGTTTAAAAATTTGAGGACCGCTTGCATGAATAAGTTTTATATCGCATATATCTTAAACTTGTCAGTGTTATTGATATACTCAGGCAAATATACCATATTCTTATATGATAAATCAGTAATGCTCGTTTTATGTCTTCATTAATTATCGCTTGCCCCGAGGAAAAAAATCGTACAGCACTATTACGACTGTTTTATTGTTTTCTAATTTTTCACATCCTTAGGTGATGTATAACTGTATTTCTTAAGATAATATGTTATTAAGAAGAATTTGTAAAACATTCTATTAAGAAAAACCACGTAATGCACGGAAATTACTAGAATTTCCTCGGTGAAAAGGAGTATAATATAATTGTTAGTTAGCACAGTGGACCGATAAAATTCTTTAAAACTTTTAATGATTTTAGTCTCAGAACTAATCCCATACTACGTGTCAGCTTGCTAAGCGATTCTATCTCATTATAAGTTGTAAGAGATCATCGATCACAATTGAGTTCTTTGGGCAACGATTAGTGCATAGGTATTATGTAAATATCAGGTTGTGTGGTGGGTTCTAGCAGCGGTTCTCTTGTTGCATCAATGGGCAGGCTCGTTCGGGGAATTACCACAACCTCACAAAAAACCGGCATGAAGTGGAAGTTATCATACTTTCATGTTTCGTTTGGTGAAAGAGATAATCGGGACCCACTTTTTTAAAGGTTATCAAACCGTCATGTCCACGGGCGGCGGTTTTCACTTAACATCTGGTGGACCGCCTAATCGCTTACTTTGCACATAAATAAAAAAGGTAAATAAATTTCTTTATTGCCATAGATATATCGTAAAATTACTAAAGAGTACTGCGCAGTCGCTGTTGACTAAGCTACAACGGCATTTACTAATCCATCCATACTAATATTATAAATGCGAAAGTAACTCTGTCCGTCTGTCTGTCTAGTTTTCACGCTAAAACTATTGAGCCAATTTTAGTGAAATTTGGTACACAGATTGTCTAGAGCCTGAGAAAGGTACTGTATTTTTAATTGGAAAAAAGTGTTGTAAAGGGTTGAAAAGGGGGATGAAAAGTTGTATGAAAGTATTGTCATTTTCAGCTAGTAATATATAAAGATGATACATGATATAATATAAAGAAGATTGTGGATTATATTAAAGTATCTACATATTTCTCACATACACAAGTTATCATCGGAATATATGTATACTCAGTTCAGAATATTTATCGGTCGTAAAAACACTGCGTTGCTGAAGCGACCCCCCCACCCCCCACAAGTATAAACAAATTAAAATATTCATTTGGCGCACAGCCTTCGGCGACTACATAACTCACCGCCCGTGTGCGACTTCTTGTACTCCTTGCCGTCACCCTCGGCGAACGTGAAGAGGAACTCCTCGGGGGCCGCGCGCGCCGTCGCCAGCACGTAATCCGGCGTATCGCCCTGCGCGCTCTCGAAGAGGGCGCGCACGGCGTCCGTGGCCGCGAACAGCGCCACGTCGGTGGCGGACACGCCGAGCGCGCGGCCCGTCCGCTCGATGGACGCGCGCGGAACTGGCCGCGACCAGGACACCACCTGGTTTTGTTAAGGGCTTTCTAGAATTTTTTTTTTGTGCTAATCTCTGCACTTAAGATTCAGGCCGCGAATGCCGAAGACGTGGGTTCGACTCCCACGGCGATGACGATCTTTTCGTACTTTTTCTATAAATTTTAAGTTTTCTACAAATTATAAGGATTTTCTAGTTTTATTGATTTACACATGAGTATCTTAGTTGATGCCTTTCTGAATTTCGATGGTATCCGTAGGACACTGTTGAATGGCCCTTGGAATACATCGCTTGACGTAAAAGAAATTTTTGGTCATAAGAAAAACATTTCGAACGTCTTTCTGAATTATTTAAGATATCTAAATAATTTTGGGAGTAATGTTTAGACCGTGAAGACTGGTGGCTATTAGAAGTATGCATACTTTTGCGTTTCGCTTAGAGGGTAAATACATCCAGATTTTCCAACCGCTTCTGGCTTTTAAAATGTACAGGCTATAGAAGGTGATCAATTACCATTAGGCTCGAGCGGAGTACCGACTATAGGCAGTGAAGGCCAATGAGAATCATTTCACACGCATGGTCATACATTTTGTCGACAACGACGAGCAGAGGAGCATCCGCGATTCACCTCTGGCCTTCTCCTCTCATCTTCACACAAATTTAAGTGCACACTACACGACGCAAGTGTTATTTCCAAAATAAAATAAAATAAAATAAAATAATGGAGCACAAATTCTAACCAATGGATATACATTTGCAGAAAACGGGTTACTAAAGATGTACCGATCACCGTCGACTGTCATGCATTACTGCTGCTGGTATACAGGTGGTTTTGGTGCTGGTGTTCGGTGGCTAGTTTGCGCCGAACCGGTGGACCGTTCGGGTGGTTCAGCGCGGTCGTTTCAAAACTATACATAATAAGTCACCTTCCGTCCGCACAGCGATACCGTCTGCAAAAAGTGGCGTTTCCCATCATCGGCGCCGACCGTGTCCGACCACAGTTCGGCCGGCGCCTTGTACACTTCCGCTGCGCACCTCCACGCTTCGAGGGCAGCTTGCGCCAAAGTCTGCCCCAGCTCCGCGTACCGCCACGTGAATGTGTGCGTCTGCTGCACTTGCCCGGTTGACTTTAGCTCCCTTATCGCGGCAAGCTCGTCTTTGAGAACGAAGGGCAGTTTCAATAAAGCACGGGTAGTGCACCAAGCGGCTTCGACCGTCAGCCGCGGCCATTTGCGCGGATCCGCGGTGACTAGTGGTGATATGATCAGCTGGAAAAATGTAAGTTCTGTTATTTTGATGGGTCAGTTGGCGTATGCTAAGCTATTCTGTTTGGCCTTCGGTCAACAATTACAATTGGTAATTTCAATTAATAAAAAATAAAAAAAATATAATGAAAATATCTATACAGATAAATAAAGTTGGAGTGTCTGTTTGTAATATTAAAATAACCACTTTTTAATAAAAGCATATGGATGTATACACGGTACATATACCAAAATAACATTTTTTACAATTTTTGTCTGTCTGTTTGTTCCGGCTAATCTCTGAAACGGCTGGACCGATTTGGACGGGACTTTCACTGACAGATAGCTGATGTAATAAGGAGTAACTTAGGCTACTTTTATTTTAGGATTTTTTTTATTTTAAATTTCTCGCCGACGAAGTCGCGGGCACAGCTAGTATACAGCGTGTCTTTACCATCGCGACAATAAATGAACACACATATAGAGGATAACTTTTTAAAATTGAATTAAACATTTACATTCTTTAAACATCAATATTTACAGAGTTATTAAATTTTCCAAAACAAAGAATTTTAGAACAACCTTATGTATAAAACTGTAACGTAAAGTTCATTTGTAAAGGTCACAAAGCATATGAATGGGTTGAATGAATTTAAAAGAGACAAAACATACTGTTAGTAGGAGAGGCTTGTAATGCGACGCTGTGGCAACGAATGAAAAAGTCTCTGAATGTATGAATCAGTCAGTTGTAGGATGTTAAAAATTTTGTTTCTTTTTTACTTAATTACTTTGTTTGAAAAATATTTTTTTTAATGATGGATTTTTTTAACGTTAATATTTTTTTATGATTATTGGCTCGTAGCGTTAGACGTGTGTTCATTTATTGTCGCGATGGTAACGACACGCTGTATAATAAATTACTAAGATTATAGACAGTTTTAACATTTTTAACAAGTGCAAACAATCTAAACCGTTGTGAGTTGAAATTCTACCTTTGGCATCGTCAGATTCCTTCGCTTGCATTCTCGCTGTATCGTGCTGATAAAAGAAGCCGGCGTCACTGAAGTCTGCCCGGTCCTTTCGTTTGATTTCTTCTTCCTGAGTTCCCTAACAGCGCTGGCGGTTGATATCAGAAGCAGTCCCGCCACGTGGAAGGCTCCCGGCATAGACTTCAACGCCCTAGGACTCTCCACGGGGTCGTACTCGGAAATGAATTCATTCCAGACATTCGACAAGCTCTCGTTTAACTTGCCCAATAGCTCCGGTATCGCTTTCGGAGTTGGGAAGAGCTTGTTCAACGGACTCAAGTAACCGTGATCCGTCGCGTGTCTCTCCTCCGGGGTCAATTGTTCCATGAGCAACAAATCACCTATGTTTATGGATTTCGTTCCGGATAGCAGCATGTGATGGACTCGCACCAGGATGTAGTACTTGGGCTCTTGCGATATGCAAGGTATGACGATGTACTGCCATGGCGGTTGATCGCTAGGAAAATATTTTGAGACGATCTCGCTAACGTAATCCTGGAAGAAAAAGTTAAACATCCTATACAATGTGTCTGATAATCAACTAGCGATGATTTAATTTGTTACAATGGGCACCATTATATTTTTAAACACATTATGTAAACTTTCACCTTAATATTGTATTAATCAGTATAACATATACCGATTTTAATACAAAAGTTGATAGTTTATTTTTTCTTTAACTTTAACCTTACAAAACTGAAAAACTAACACAATGTAATCACAATAATGATATTTTTTTAACTTTATTTGCACTTCTTATTTCATTTGCTTCAGAACCACATTTTACGCCAAGGAGTCAAAAGGCTGAGAGTGCCGTTATCAGTCTAGTGTAGTTTTCAGCTCAAAATTGTATACATATCTCACCTGTATGTTAGCATCTGAGACTGGTCTTCCACGGTAGACCGCGTTTGACACTATGAAATGGTTCTCAGGCCTGAAGACCATGTTGGCGTCCCATGCGTAGTTTCCCCAGCACGATACAAGGCACTGCCGCAGTCTCGGAAACATGAAGTTGCCATCATTGTCACGCCGGTCGATCACGTGCTGGGTCAGTATGTTCTTAATCTGCTCTATGTTGTAAGAACCTTGAAAATGTAGAGTTTTGTTTTTATTCTATAATCGTTCCGCGAGCAGGTGGTTTATTTGAGGTTAGGTGAATACCGCCGCTCATGGACGTCTACAACACCTGAGGGCTTGTAGAAGCATTGACATACTTTAAAAAGCTTGGCCCGGTTACCTCGCATACCAGAGGAAACGCTAATGTACGCTACCTTCTCTTAAAGCCGCTGTAGTTCCCGGAGGAGCTTGCCTATTCGTGCAACGTGTTTTGTGGCCTTACCACAGTAAGAGTTGTTATAGACACCACAAGCGTTTTTATCATGTGACGTCGAGTGTAAAACCGTTAAAAAAACTGGCTAGTACCACATAAAAACTTTTTATACTCATAAAACTCAAACCTTATAACAACTTTTACGTAACTTTTGTATGCGATTAAAATACACTTCTGTAGCTAATTAAGGTTTTTTTTCCCTAAACTGAAACTCAGTATGAAAGACCACATACCAATAATGAATATCAGACGATATTATTCTAGCGGTAAGCCGGGAGCGTCGATATTTGATTAAGTATCAAACTATTAACGCCCGATAGTGGACTAGAAGAAAGGTCAATGATCCACGATAGATTAGTACCAACTAATAGCTAATACTCATAATGAAAATTGTATTTCGCGTGACTGCAAACCAAGACGGCCAGTCTTGACTTGCTGTTCACGCGTTTGATTTCATTTCATTACACCGAAAAGACGGTTAGAGGCACAACAAAAATATTGCAGTGTTAATGTGTGATACATCATTTTGCCACTATATAATTCTTACCAAAATCTTTCGATGCTATAAAGTATGCACAATGTAATTGTTACGCACTGATATTCGAACCCGATTCTCCTCATTTGGAACACAAAACAATTCAATATTGCAACATTGTCTTTTTGGTTTTGGTCTTTTCTTAACATTGCCATTGGTTGTTTAGTGTATTTTTAGAGATGGTATACTTTGTTCCAGTAAGTTGTCGCTTCTAATACGAGTCTTAATTCAAATCAGATCGTCTATGTATCTTACATATAGCTTCTGTACTAACGTAAGGCGACTTACCTTTTACACCTATTAGTACATTAATAATTCCTTGATTCCTGTGCGTGTCCAGTAACGAGCGGACTGTATCCGTTCTGATGAACTCCAGATGAGGATATCTGCTTGACAACAGTTTAATCCACAAATGTTTGCTGATGCGTACGACTGAAAAATAATAGCAATAATGTGCTACTACACTTATATTTTACATGAAGAAGCTTAGGTAAATTTATTTGGTTTAATTTAAATAGTGTTTACAGATAATTTACAGAACTCTAACTTTAAGTTATACAACTAGTGAGTTAATTATACTATCATTAACTGATTACATTGAATTTCACGTCAGACCAAAATAAAACAGATTGATAATTGTAAACATAAGTACAAAAGTTTAGTAAGTAATAGTACTTTTTGTCTCCGACAAATATATTCTTCCATAAGTATCTATTATGAAAGTAATTTGAATAATAGCAGTTTTTCGTTTGGGTCTAATGTTTGTCCGGGTCAATTATAACGGCCGTGGGTCTATTCCTTTGATTAGGAGAACGTGATAAGACAATGTTGAACGTATTGAACGTTATTGTCATATTTGAACGTATTTCATGTTTAGCCGTAAGAATAAAAGAGCAACGACAAACAACTTGCTTCTTACCAACGTACGACAAAGCCAACGCCGGTAGAGTCGACACAGCAATCCAAAACGCACAGTAAGTGTACAGCTCTTGGGCGATTCTAACGCGAAATCCTCTTGTTTTCTCTCTACTCATTGTGCCGTCTTTTGTACGTCCACCCGTCACCGCTCACTGGAACTTACTGATATAGTGATCTATGTCTGGAACTCGATGATAGTTTTGACATAGACGCTTGTTTGTAAACAATGAGTGTACGGAAATAAAATAGAAATAGGTCAACCCAGCGCTCACAAGATTAATTTATTCGGCTATATCTAACATCCGACTGTTATATGAACGAACGGTACCCTGTTATTTTACTCCGAAAGTATTTTATATTAAAGAACTTAGTAAAACATCGTGATTTGTACTAGCTAGTATTGATGCACATCGTGCAACAGCATACGAAAATGCTTGCGTCGTCGTAACACTGACATGGTTTGGAATAAGTTATGAAATGTTGAACACTCGTGTCCGCTGTAGCTTGTACTAGTTTGATTTTGTTGTCGTGGTCGATTCTGGACATACGATAGGGAGACTTGTACACATATATAAATTTGATATGTGTATCAGTTTGTATACAATACCATGTAGACAAACATTCGTATACAGTTCGATGCATGCTTGATAGCATGTTGATCATTGTTTAAAAATGTTTCTTTTTTTTATGAACTATATTCGTATATTTAATTAACTATTATAAGTACTTTAAAAAATGTAAAGGAAATAATAACTATCATTAAAATTGGTGCAGTAATTACTTCATATAACTAAAATAAATATTTTTGTTTATTCAGCACAACTGTTTTTAGCTGTTCTAAATCTTATGCCAATCAATAATATGAAATAGCTTCCGTATGTCTGTGTCCTCAAAACTCAAAAACTAGCCGATCGATTGACTTGCTATTTGTTCACACTTCACAACACAGCTATCGAACAAGAGTGTTTTGTTTTGTGTATACTTTTAATACGAAGATCCAAAAGAAACAAAAAAAGCCGAGTAGTCTTTGGGGACTGCCGATAGAAGTGAATATTAAGTTAAAAATAATTATTATATTTATCTATAAATGAAATAATTATTTTAAGTAAGAAATAATTAATATATATATAGTAAAATAATTAAAATAAATAAAAAGCGTTGGGTGACGATGACGCGAGTTCCATCATTTTTGTTCACCCAAAAGTGCTCAACGCGCCTAAAGAAAATACTTCTTCAAAGAAACAACAGCGAAGCGTAAGCGGGTTTAGCTACTTAATTATAATTCTAATAAATAGAGTTTAATTTACCTGTGTATTTGAACAAAATAACACTTCTTAAATGACACAGGTAACCTTACAGCATTAAAACTAGCTCTTACGTTATTTCCCATAGTACTGATAACATTTGCTTTCACCTACTGACAGCATTGACAGTAAACGCACATCGTTGTGGTCTGGAGAAAGTGGGCGCAACGAGTCTATTAAGTTTCTTCCAAACATAATAGTCCGTATTTTATATAAATAGTCAAAATAAAAGTTAAAAATTACAAATGGTTGAAGATATGGTTACTTACCAAATGCTTCCTTATAAATAACTTTCGTTTTGTATTCTTGTCATTTATTAATCTTGTTTTTACGAACAATATTGAAAGGAGTCAATAAAGGGTAAAACTATGAACCATGTTGCGGTCAACAATGACATCATTTCAATTATTATAAATATGAAAATAGACATAAGTACGTCGTTTATTATCATTGTAAATGTAATGAGAGCCAATTAAGCTGACAGGTATGAACATTAACCAGTATTGTAAGTTTTTAAATTATTTTAGCATTAAACCTTTAAAGTTAAAAAGTAAAGTTACTGCCTATACAATTCCCATTGCTGGGCAAAGGCCTCTGTACAGATGATACTAGGGCATAGTCCAACACGCGACCTCATTGCGGATTGGTAGAATTCACATATTATAAATTCTTCGAAACATTTTTCTTTTGTTATTATTTCCAACATAATTATGCAGATTTCCTCACGACATCTTTCTTCTGAGCATGTGATATTATTACAAATCATTGTCTGTTAAGATTTTGAATTAAACATCTTTCTAGCCTTTTAAGAACTCTACTTTTACTAGTATACTGTATATATTGTCATTAAAATATATAACAATGGACTCAAGCTTAGATTTCATCAAGTTATACGATTATCGATTTCGCAATGATTTTACGGTGATTTAAGTTTTTAGTACATGGCGTTACACGTAACGCGGACGATGCACAACTTGACTCCTGCACCCGGCCCTATCTGGAGTGACCCTATTGCCCGCGATGCGATAGTGAATGAAACGGTTCATGTACTACTAATATGCAAGCCTCAAATATATTATCGGGTCGTTAGTAACTCGTCCTTGACTCTATTTCTGATTGGATAAGTTCCTAATTCATCGGAATAGTTTTTAATTTTTAATTTAAGTTGAGCGATAACTCTTTACAACGTTGTCGGTTTTCTTGCTTTAAGAGGGCCCTAAACTTGTTATGTTTAATGTCGGCAAGGGAGCAGGGCAATTTAGCTAATGTAACGGCGCTTAAAACGCCCGTGGGAACATCTATATACCTTCATATTTTGTCCTCACATTAGTTACTATAAATTAAGATGGATATTATAATATCATTTTCAATATCTTAGTACAATCCATCATAAAAATCTTCGCTCGACACATAACCATCTTCTCCAATGTCCTTCTCATCGTACTGGTTTCATGCACTGGTCTTTCTTTGTTCAGTCCATTCTTTTGTGGGACGCGCTGCCTCTCAAAATCATGACAGCTAAAAGTCGCTCCGCATTTAAAAGAAAAACTCGCGAGCACTTCCTTAAAAAATGTCTGTAGATTCTCGGGATCGTTAAACATAAAAGTATGTATATTTTATATTTATTTATATATGTAAATATATTGTGCATTAATATGTTTATATTATTTTATACATATGTATGGTATTATATAGTATTATCTGATAGTATTAGTATAGTATTTTCAGTAGGTTTAATATGTAACGTATATATTTTATAATTCTTATGATTGTTTTTTTTTTAAATTGGTAATAAAAGCACCTATCTTAACTTTTCTGTACCGCCTCAAGGTCGACTGGGAGATAATGCTGATGGCATTAAGTCCGCCTTTGTATATTAATGATTGTGCATAAAGATTAAATAAATAAATAAATATTAATATAAAGTGAAGCGTTCGATAATTTGCTTATGGAGAAGAAAATCTTCGAACGCTTCACAATTTTCAATAGTACAAGAGTCTTTGGGTTTATTATAATAAAACTTTTGGTTTATTATTTTTTACATATTTTAAATTTTAGCATTTTTTATTTTAAATTTTACATAATTATTCTATGAAATTAAATGGCTGCAGTACAGTTTTGGTTACAAATTCTTCAAAAACAATAATCACAATCTCTGCTGCATTCGTATTCATTTAAAAGTAATAACAATTAATAATTATTATCAATTTGATAAAAAGATACGTTGGATAATGGTTTAGTATTTGAATTATATTTAGTATCTCTGGGTGGTAGATAGGGGCAACGAAGACATCCGCAGGAGAACAATAGGAACCGACATAGCTCAGGTTAGTAAGCTGAAGTGGCGATGGGCCATATAGCTCGTAGAAGCGATAGCCGCAAGGGGAAGAAAGGTTCTTGAGTGGCAGCCTCGAACTGGTCATCGTAGTGTGGGACGACCCCCCACTAGATGGAGTGGTGGCTCAGGATCGTACTTTATGGCAGTCTGTGGGGGAGGCCTATGTTCAGCAGTGGACTCAAACAGGCTGAAATGATGATGATGATGATGATTTGTACATATACATTTTAATTCGAAGATACCTAATGAAACAAGGTCAAGATTTAAATAGTACCAGTATTTTTTTAACCCTATCAATATAACTGTAACTTTTAATTTGTTTATTGTTGACATTGAATCACTAATGCCTCAACCAATATAACATTAGAGCCATGTTCAATATTCCACCACACATAAGCAATAAATAAATGTGAACATAGATTTCAATCTCCGAACTGTGAACAAAGAAATTAAGTCAAACAGCAAGAATTATCAAGCCAGATTGGACCGACATATTAACAACAAGTTGGCTACCAAACTTTTGGCAGTCGAATCTCCCGCCTTAAGAGAAATAATATAAGCGACAAGATTCGCAGACAAAAATGACAATTATACCACTGGATGCAAGTCTTAGCTGAAGGTACATTTACAGATGAAAATACGAGAGCTTATTAGATTATTGTTTAGAAGAAACAGATTGGTAAGTAGCAGTTTTATATAGAAAAAAAATGCCTCAACAAACATAATGACTCGTACATTATTTTTAATTAAAACGCATGAGACTACCTTTTGATCTCTTCATGGTCCGCCGCTAGACTTTTTATAGATAACATGAATACCGAAATGCAGAAAACGCGAGGAGAAGTTTTCCATAATGTTTTGTTTGTTTTTATGCGAAAAGTTGTCAAACGAGCAGACGGTTCACCTGATATTAAGTAAATACCGCCGCCCATGGGCATCTGCCACACCCGAGGGTTACAGATGCGTTGACAACCTTTTGAAAATTGGGCTCCGGCTAACTCACTCACCAGACGAAACGCGAAAGTCTTGTCATTGTCTTATTTGTCATACTTCCACTTTACGCTGGTCTTCTGTGAGGTCGTGGTACTTACCCGGACGGGCCTGCCCATTCGTGCAACGGCCGAGGCTGCTGCGGGGCCCTACCACCGTAATGCCATCATATCCGTATAGTGATGACTAGACACTACTCTAAATATCAATCAATACGTATTTAACAGATTACCAATTGATTTAAAAACTACGCTATACAAATTCAAAAATACTTAAAAAAAGGTCCTACTGGAAAATGTAACATAAAATTCTCGTGTCACGGTGTTTGTAATTGAACTCCTCCAAAACGGCTCGACCGATGTTCGTGAATTTTGTGTGGATATCGGCCAGGGTGGAGAATCGGACAGCATCAATATTTCATCCCCTAAAATGTTAAGCGTGGTCCACCCCAAACATTTTTTTCTACCCTACAAATAATTTATATGGCAAAACAACGTTTGCCGGGTCAGCTAGTGTACGAATTTGAATTAAATAAAATATTTTCATGAAATTTTAAAATTAAATTTTTGTGACAAATCATTTCTCGTAGCTTTATTATTAATTTTGTGACATTTTATACTTATTTATAATGATGAGACTTATAATTTCTATTGTAATTTTATATATTCGTAATTTTGTTTGTGAACCATTTTAATTTTATTTTTTTGCATTAATTATTCAACACAATTTGTATTGTTAAAACTAAAGGAAGATAAATACCAATAATTAGGTATTTATGTTGCAACTATTCTGATATATGTGTAAATACGATAGCGACAACGCTGTGACCGAACGATAACTGATTTTTAAGTCGGTCGTATTACTTCAAATAATTAATAGGTAGATATAAGTAATATGTTCACCGACATGTATGAACTATTTGAAATAGTATGGTTTTTAAAGCAAATTTTTTAAATAAATCAAAAGTTATACTTTTGTAAGAAAATTACCAAAACACCCCATTGTTTAATTTCATATTGTGTATATTCATTATTTTCCGTTCACATATTTATTGTGAATTAATATTTATTTGGTCCCTAGTGTAAGTATCGTGTGTTTATAATAATTATTCATACCTTTAAGAATTCGCAATACGGAATTAATAAGTATTCAGCACCCGTAATCACTGTGTTACGTACACAAAAAAAACACACAACAAAATTATTGTTTTTCACTTCAGTTTTGAAAAATGTCTTGGGGCTAAACCAAAATTTTAATTGTTAAACAGCCATAATATTTACCTTACATCTCACCTCTACCATATTAATAAGAACTACCTTCACCTAAGAATATGTTCAAGTTAAAAATACAATCGACAACAGCCTGTTATAACTGTACAAACTACTCACATTAATCATGATGATAACACGAGGACCCTGTATCTCTCTCTCACTCTCACTAAACTTAATGTAAATTTTGAAGCAGAAAAGAAAGCTTTTGCTCACAAGGTGTTGTCAAACACTTTTGCAAACCCGCTGCGTGACCGTCGCTCGCCAATCAACAGCGCGTTCTGAGTCCCCGCCCTTATCACACGCTCGTACCAAGGTTCACAAACGAAGTTACCGCTCGCCTTTAATTCAATTTACTGGAGCAACTTGAATTCGATTCCCGGTGCCAGCACCGATGAAATTGTTAATTTTAAGTGCTGACTTAACAAGTGCTCAGCGCTGACTGTGCATCATAACAAAGAAAAAATATTTGGAAAATATGTTATATCCGCCAATTCGCAGTGGGTTCTTGTAGTGCTTTATTTGCTCAACACGCTTTGGGACATTTATAGGTTGTTACTTTACTTTATTTTTACTTCATTACTTAGTATAAAACAAAGACGTTCCGCTGTCTGTCTGTCCAGTATGCCTAGATCTTTAAAACTACGCAACGGATCTTGATGCGGTTTTTTTTACTAGATAGTGATTCACGAGGAAGGTTTATATGTAAAATACATTGCTCCCGTGCGAAGCCGTAGCGGGTCGCTAGTTAAGTATATACATAGTATATAAACGGTCGAAGGTAGAGTTGACGAAGCGTCTTCACGACACGAAATTTATTCAGTTATCATTATTATTATATGTCATCTTAGAACTCGGATTTATACTCCTTAAACTATATCCTTTTTTGTTACTTATAAATGATAGCTTCATCTGGCATACAGCTACTGGAAAGGTTTCCAGTTTAGCAGTATCCAGTAGGTTACATTAGCTCGATATACCCTTCCCTACTTATGCAGTCACGCAGATTAAGGGATCTGTCAGCTAGGGACCGACGAGCTCCAGTATGCGCATCGTCACAATCTACTTACTATCGCCCGAGGAATTTGCTATGTGGTGACTGGGTGCGGTGGGAATTGATAATTGACGACCTAATTGGCCTAATGGCTAATGTGCTTGTCTCTTGCGCCAGACGGTGTTTGTTCGACCCCCACTACTGGAAAATTATTGTGAGATGAAAGTAGTGTTTGTCCAGTGCCTGGGTGTTTGTATTCCCAATAAGAAATATGTTTAAGTATGTTTATCAATTATCTAGTATACATAGTACAAGCGTTGCTTCGATTGGGACTAGTAAACGTTGTGTAACAATGTTACCTGAAATAATTGAAATAAATCATCATTACAGCCATTTAAAGTCCACTGCAGAACATAGGCACAGTGGGGGAGCCAAAGACTACCACGAAGCACCTAAGACATCTTCGTCCATCGACTTCCCGATAATTGATATAGACAAGGCTAATTAGGTCAAAGCTGTGCGAGAATACCGCATAATAGCAAATATTCCGGTTTTTTGATCGGTTTTCTGACAGATATGATGGAATCGATTATTATTCTTATTATTCCGTCGGTAAGATCGAAAAATATTATGCATATTTCATTACTCAGTAATTTGTATCTAAATGTAATTACCAAAATACACGAATTACTAAAAAAAATACCTCCTCCTCCAGGTACTAAGGTATTAAAGTAGGAAGCAAGTAAATCGATATAATTATCTTTATATTATCTATAATTAATGTGCTGTATATTCCTGAACTTATTTGAATAATTTTAATATTAAATTACCAATTTAATTTACAATGCCTGATAAGAAGAATCAGGAAGCAGTCTCGGCAAATGTCAAAGAAATCGCTAAAATCGCTATATTGGGGCCTATCGATGAGTTTGTGGTCCGATTGTCTCGAAGCACGTACCACAGAGCGGACAACACCCACATACACACCCACATATTGATGTTTTATGATAGCCGCCGCCCATGGACATTTGCAACACCCGTCGGTTTGCTGGTACGTTGTCAGCTTTTAATACGTTGGGTCCAGAGGAAACAAAGAGGTCTAACGTTTCCACATCACGCCGGTCTTCTGTGAAGTCATGGTACTCGGACGGGCCTGCCCATTCGTGCAACAGTGATGACTGTTGCTTGGATGGGTCCTCGACCGGACGATACCTGTCCATCGTTGGTCGGTTGACCCCGAGACGTGTCGCAGCAAGCTCGTATGCCAGTTGCAATAACATCATTGAGAAAAATGGCGTTAGTAGAATACATGACATTAAACCTTCCTTGATTAAAATATCTTCATTTTATATATTATATCCTTTAAAATCACACACTCCGTTTTCACGTATTTGTATTATATATTATTCAATTATTAATGGAATCCTTAAAATAAAACACATTGAACACACATGTTTAAAATTAAAATTATTTATTGAAACAGTTTTGATTGTCTCGTTTAAATTAATTAATGATAACATAGTTTCCACTAAATCTAAGGAACTTATAACATATGTTACTGCCACGTATTAGAGCTTAAACAGACGCAAGAAGTACACAAAGTTTATGCACGGGATTTTCATTACAATAATTATACATAGAAACTAGGTATCAATATAGGATACTTAATAGTTAGGCTTTGTGGAAGATTACATTTCACTATAATCGAAGGACTAAAATATAATAATGATTACTTCAACATCGATAAGACAAATGCTTCCAAAATGACGTATATAATAACAAAAATGCCTGAAGCTTCCTTTGTACCTATTCGATACCTAACTAACATTGCCTATTCAACATTAATAAAGGAAACAAACGTTTATTTCTTGTTTTTATATAACAGGATCATTTTTAATATTCAGAAACGAAAAAAGACAAGTCTTACATCCACTCTTATCACATATTACAGCTTCTAACTACTTTCATTTATCATAGAAAATCTAATACAACGTAGATATCAATTGTATAAATTTCAAATTGGAACCTACTAGAAACAGTTTTCAAATGATATACGGTCCACTTACTGTATACTACTCGTCGATAAATATTGCACATCGACCTTTGAAAGAGACAATCGACTAATTTAGGTTTCGTAGAGCGCTATCCCTTTCATACACTGTGTGACGTTTGTCAGTCGTACAAGTGTGCGACAAAGAGTTATCTCTCTGTGAAGGCGTTAGCCTTGCCAAGCCGAAATTAGCAGATCGTCTCTTTCCAAAGGTCGATAAGCAATATTGTTCCCCGAGTAATAACATACAGCGGGGTCAGTTTTAAATGAAATAAAATCGATCGGAAACATTAGTTCACGAAACATAACTGTCGTTGTTACGAATCGAGTCAAAAGGGAAACGGTTCAAAAGAATATCGATAATTATATCGACTACATTTAACGTCGCTAAACATTTGGCATACAACCGAACGTAGCTTATATATTAATTAAATAATTAAATAGGTAACGCGAAGCTAGCTCTGAAATAGGACACCTCGTTGCAACGGAACACAGTATTTAATATAACACTATTATGGACGCATCGATAACTCACGGACAAATAATTTTATGAATAGACGAGTAGAAATATTGGGTCCTCTGTTACAATAATGTTTGTATCTAAAATAAAGCATCTCTAAAATTTCCGATAAGCTTTAATTTTCTTTACATAATAATTACACGAGTGTTTACGAATATGTGGAATTTATCATTTTTTATTTTACGGTTTAATAGTTATCTCATACTTTGAAACGTTGGGTCATAGACCCAACGTTTCCTAATAACCTATAAACCAGAGGAGTCTTATTTCAAATCGACGACTGTAGCCACCAAATACCTTCAATAATCTGTATGCGGAAACTATAATCGAGGTGAAATTATACAATTTAATTTTAGAACGTTGCGTGGCGACATTGCTAGGTTTAACCGTAACAAATGCTGTAGGTATATTATAAAACACATTAATTTTAAACGATCGGTCGGTTGCGAAAAAATAATTCAATCATTTGAAGTTCTTCGAAACGAGCGACGGTCGTGTGCCCGTTAGACATAGAGCCGCTAGATACGGGCGGAAGGGCACGGCTGTATGACCAGATCCGCGATTAACGGCTGCATAGAGCTAGATCCGCTAGGAACGGGAGAACGGGACGGTCATACCGCGCTCGCCTTGAGCCGGGCGGGGAACCTGTGCTCGGAGCGGCGCGGTATGCCGCTCACCTTCTTCGACAGCTGGCCGCAGTTGATGGAGGAGGGCAGGGACTTGTAGCCGCCGTCCGAGCTGTAGTCCGTGTCCGTCGACTGGCCGTTGAGCGGGCTGTGGCGGGAAATCGCGCCCTCGCCGCCGCACAGGTCGCCGTACGACGTGTGGTGGCGCAGCGCTTCCGGCGGCGACTGTACCTGCGCCCGCCGCCCGAAGTTCTCTATCGAGCGCGAGCGCGACTGGTACAGTCCCGGCGAGTCGCGCTTCGCGTACCGCCTCCCGTCCGAGCTCTTGGCGACCGCCTGCAGGTACTTGGTGCCGACGCGGCTGTTCCTCGCCAGCTGCACCCGCCCCTCGGCCTCGTTCGATCGCGCACCGCACTGACACTTCGCGCCGCCGCCAACGGTCCTCTTAGTCTTTTGTGCTTCACTGTACGCCGGCAGCCTCCGCGCGCCCGTTTGTTCATTCCAACTGTCGGTGGGCAATTGGTTTGTCTCCCGTTAATGTACAGTCGTGCCGATAAAGGTATACGATCTTATTTTTTTTAAAGGAAGTGACCATGTTAATGTTAACAATAGAAGAGCTTAAGTTTTAGCTGGCCTGTTTTTGGTAACTAAACGAAGCTTTAAAACTGGATTCAGAGGAAAAACAAAACTATCCGAAGCTTTTCATCTTATTAGTTTCAACGTTATTATTTTCAACAGACATCTAAAAGGAAGATTTCTCACATCAGTTGTTTTTTATGTCTATTACTTCAGAACTCCGTTATCTATGATTTTTTTTAAATTCTTTTTGGATTCGATTCGGGTTTACTGTCATGTGTCCTATATTAATTTTATCGGTTTCGGACCTTGCAGTCCGGAAGTACATCAGTGAACTTTTCAAAATCAAATAGTAAATGTATAGTGAGGATTGAAGAGGGTTTTTGTTTTTGTCACTAACAATGTAGAAGCTAAATTGTCAAAGAAGTTTATAAATGGATGTGACAAATTGTTTTTTGTATTTAATAGCTTAGCAAACAATGAACTTGCCCATCAAAACTTGACAATATCACAGTATAAAATATTGAAGTTTTTAGTTAATTTAATAATTTCTAACACACAACCTTACCTTTAAGTTCTGGCGGGGCAGCGTGTAACACAGACACAAGTTTCATAATCAAAGTAAAATACAAATTAGTTCATAATTTAATAATACAAGACAATACAAACTTTCTAAGCCTAAAACGCATCACACAGGAACTCCCTACTTACTACCCTAGGTAGTGTTATTAATTCCAAAAGTTGCTATTAGTGAAAATTCAGAGAAATTCGTCAACTCACAAAGCAGTACAATCCTTTAATATAAACCAAAACCGTTATCACAGATAAAATTTTCACAAACATTTTTGTTATAAGAACCATTTAAAATACTCTTTTCTGAAAAGTTTTTTATAGAACTTGAAAAAGCTTTAGAAAAATTTTCAAATGTAGAAATGTTAGCACCAGTTAGCGGACAGTATTTGATATGATAAATATGTTGAAATTTCGTTCAAGTTAAGCAATATTTAAATTCATTACGTTTTCGAAACAAGAAAGTCAAAACTAAGACACATTACGCTATAAAATTATTCAATCAGCTATAACGTTAACTTTTTTATAGGTACAGCTTTAACAACAGCACAGCTTTACAAAATACCATAGATAATATAGTCTAGAATAGGGTTTAAACACTATCTGGGACAGATTACGAAATACCACAGACATTGCATTTTATGATGTAGTTTACACTGTGCACTGAGAGATCACTTGAAGAACTTGTAGCAAAACTGGCCGATATCCGTGTCAGGAACATCATGGGTGGCGTCGTTAGATGCCGGGTAAATAAGATGCAGAAAGCAGAGCACATTGACAGAGCACAAAAGGCACACAGCGAGCAAGCAGTCGAGCCACGCTACCTGTTCCGACGGACGAACCCTGCCGGCCCCCAAGTGGAAACTGTCGCGTTTATACGACATTTTGCGAGTTTTATTTTTTCGAAATCCAAATCCGTAATGGAGTTAAAAGCAGCATGTGAGGAAATCAGAAAAAAATGAACTCATTGGAAATTTAGCGAGATAATTTGGTAATGGTTGATGGTATATGGAAGATGTGGGGAATAAATTAAGTAATATAAATAATTACTAAATAAAAGAAAAACAACGTAAATTAATATAAATATTATGAGGTGGAATAGATTAGATTTTGTTTGAGGTAGTCCTTTAATTTCTGTGATTTAAAATGAATAGTAAATTAGATATAGATTCATAGGAGAATACCAATTAAATATGGGGAGACCGTAAGAGTGATTCTGCACATGGAGGTGGGTGAGAACGACATTTTTCTATTCATATAATCGCTGAATGTCGTTATCCACTTAGAACTCCTTACACGAGACGTTATATGATAGGTCTTGGATAGTGTTTTACGTGCGATTTTTGAACAGCTGTCTTGGAACATGGACAAGCTAGGCGAGAGGTAAAGGGGAGTAATGTATAAGGTAATAGATGAGTGGAGAGTACGTAGAATAGACTTTACTGTAACTAACGGTGTGGTGATAAACCTATAACAATAATTTACGGATTATAATTGTGACACAAAGCCATAAATAAACGTCGTCACAAATACAAATTAAAATAGGTAAACAATTATAACGGAGACTTATATGAAAGATAGCATGAAAATGTAAATTTAAAAAGGGAAGCGGATAGAATTTGTTCGAAATAATTCTACCGATAGTGAAGAATAATGGGGATTTATAAAAATTAAATGTATAAATATTCGTTTACATACATACACATATTAGATACATCAAATAAAACATGGTCGTTACCTCACTAATCCGGAATTTTCAGAACTCGTTAGCCCCGTGCTCATAGGTGGACGCAACTGAAACAAAACATGTTGCTAAATACTTTTCTCAACATCAGAGTGCGGAATTAATTACGATTTGCTTGCGACAACTAAAACTTTCGTGATCAAGATAAACATCACATTCACATCTTCCCTCTTTTCAGTCTGCATGGGGTTGCTGGTTTTACAATTTCGCAGAAAACTTAAATGATGTTGGCCCCGCGTTTCCAGTACTGCCGTGTGCAAAATGAACCTTGACTCATTAAAAATATTCATATATCGATTAATAAAGTTGTTCGTTATTATACACCAACATGTATCGAGGAACATACAGAAAACGTTCCAGCTTTACTTGCAGCGCGGATTGATGATTTCGTGACCTCGCCGCGTGTAGTTTTTGAGCGATCAATCATAGTTGTTAACTTACTGTGCGGTTTCACAGTGTGTCTTCATGAATAATAATGTGATTTTTAACATGTATGCGAATATAAGTCAACCAGTATGCGCCCCCACAAATGTCACTTGCTTCGAAAACTAGCAAGTGAAGACTACTCTACGTTGCGACGTGAATAATGGGGCAGTGTTCGGGCTACAAAACTAGCGAGCGAGCATCCGCCTCATAGTCCAAGAAAAGTCCGCTTGCTTCGGGGCTTGCGGATCACATGAGTGGGCCGCGCGTACCATATGCCCTTCACGTGACTATTAGTTCTCCACGGCGCACGGCGTGTGGCTGGAAAACTAGCGAGCGATTACCCGGTCTGTCTGCGTTGCGACGTTGACTGTGTCGTCGCTGCGCGGCTCGTGGCTCTCCGCCATGCGCAGCATCTGCTGTTGCAGCACGCGCACCAGCCGGTCCCGTTCCTCCAGTTGACTCTGCAATGTTTACGCGGTCCTCATTGATTTTTCGCTGTAAACATTATTGCTGTCATCCATCCTCGGCACATAACTTAGCACAATAAAAGGTTTACTGCTGACGGGAAACGTCTTTGATTTTCCTAACCAAAAAGACGTATGATGCCAAATCCAACCATGTGGGAGATGGTGATGGGAAAAAGATCGTATGTGACGGGGCCTGGGGACAGATCGCGCATGGAGTTAAGGTGTGAGTGGCGTAGGGTCATATCACCTGCAGGTATGATGCCCCTCTGTGTGGTTTTTGATTCTAAGCCTTTTGTTTTGTTAACGTGGTGGGAATCCCAACGCATATCCGACCTCGCAGGGGGAAGGACGGGTGTTTTTTTTTAATGTAAAAAGTTGCTAAACGAGCAGACGGTTCACCCGATGGTAAGTGAATACCGCCGCCCATGGTTATCTGCTATACCCGAGGATTACAGATGCGTTGACAACCTTTTGATAATTTGGCTCCGGCTACCTCACTCACCAGACGAAACGCAAAAGTATTTGTCATACTTCCACTTTACGCTGGTCTTCTGTGAGGTCGTGGTACTTACCCGGACGGGCCTGCCCATTCGTGCAACAGCCGAGGCTGCTGCGAGGCCCTACCATCGTTACCGGTGTCGGACTCGCACCGACAAAAACACCCACAATTTTCCACCCGGGCGCATATCGACAGGGCCACGGGCACGCTTTCGTACACTTCTGTGACGCTGCCACCGCTTCCCGTCTTAGCAGGCCCTTCTCGGGGAGCAACTCCCCTCTCCTCGTCCAGGTAAGGCACGCCGGAACATTCAGCGCACCTTCCTACTAAGTCCCGTTTCCACGGTCAACGAACTCCCCTGAGTTCGCTGGCCAGAGGCCATACCGACTCGGAGCCGCCTTCTCGGGCCGGCCTACTGTGGGTTCCCTTGGCTTCGCCGTGGATGATAAAGCCACGGCGATTAGGCCCCTCCGCCACGACAAGACGGGAAGCCGGTCAGAGGGGCTTTGACTTTAAGCCTAGTTGTCGAGATGCGCTATTGTGGCACGTGGCACGTTACCTGCAGGTAGACTATCAGGCAGCGCATCACTTCGCTGGTCTTTGATTTTTCTCATAGTTATAAAGAGAGTGTATGATGTGAGACGCGTTATGGTCGCAAGTGGTACGTCACCTGCAGGTAGACTATCTGGCGGCGCATCTCTGCGCAGGCGTCGGGCGGCAGCGCGGCCGCGGGGGGACGGCGCCCGTTGCCGCGCGCGGGACTCTCCGCGCACGCCGCCAGCAACGGGTCGAGAGTTTCGCTCTGCAATGCCAACATTGTATACGTTCATCACTACATTCGTACATCAATACATAGTATGAAACATAGTCGTCCCGCTGTCTGTCCCTATGTATGCTAAGATCTTTAAAATCACGCAACGGATCTGGATGCGGTTTTTTTACTAGATAGAGTGATTCAAGAGGAAGGTTTATATGTATAATACACTGCGAAGCAGGGGCGGGTCGCTAGTAATAAATAATACAATCTAATGATATACAGGAGAAGCCGCGGGTCGAGATCCACGACGTTCTATCGTATATGCGTCGATATTATGGACAGACAAAAGTCAGTTTACCCAATATCAAACTGATTAATAGACATTGAGTAGTAGACAGTCAGTAGACGAGAGGGTTTAAAAGTTTATTTTAGGCTAAATAGATATTCCATTTTATTATTGTAATTCTTAGCGAATAATAATGTTTTTACCGTCATCTACGAGGGAACAAACAGTGATAGGACGAAAGGTGTATCGTTACCAAGGAAAAGCCGTTTAGGTTAGATAACATTTTTATTAAAGACAACTCCTCCTGATGATTATAGATAATATGTTTACCTTTATGTTTATATAATTCATAAACTTTTTTTATCAGACTAATTAACCGCCTGCACGTGTTAATTACGATAACAAACAACATCCACTCACCACGGATAGTGTTTGGGGATCAATATAACATATCTAGTTTATGATTATTTTTTATTTTTACTGCTAGCCTGCACTCAAGATGAAACTTGAAAAGTGAGTTTTTAAATTGATTCTTATTTTTTGAGAATGTATCTATAAAACTTACTTTTTTCCTAGTTTATTTAATCCACTACTTTTGTTTTCCATAGATTTCCTATTATACCTTCACGGTCTAGAAATAGCGCGCCATCTTAACCGTGCGTATCGCGAGCAATAAGCATTTTAATAAAACGCAAAAACTGGTGAAATTCTCAAACGAGGCGATTTGTATGATAATAAAACGAAAAGTGTAACAGAGAAGGTAGTTAATGGGATCAATATAAAAGCCAATCAATAAATCATTGAAATTATAAAACCATTTTAACAACCACCTACAAAAATTAGACGTTCAGACCAAAATAAATAAAATGATGGTAGACAAAGTGATGCTTAAAATGTGATGTGTAAAAATAATTAAAAAAAATAAAGTCTCTTATACACCAATCGACAGATAAAATACGAATATCATTAATAAACATTTCTAAATGTGTTATCACAAAACACTTCACAAGACCGGATGCTGGAAGGTACCGTAATGATTTATCATTAGAATATGACGCAGCGTCGCGAATGTTTTCAGAGAACCTGAATAATTGTTTTATTGCCTTAAAGAGCTGTATTATGAGGCGGTTGCAATTTAGTATGCTGACATTTCTGGGCTCGCATCGTGAAATTAAAAGGGTAAATATGAAGGCCTAATAATAGTATTACCGAGTACCGCTTCCATAAAAAAAAAAGTAAAGTAACAGCCTATACATGTCCCACTGCTGGGCAAAGGCCTCCTCTATACAGAGGGTATCAGGGCATAGTCCACCACGCGGCCCCACTTCGGATTGGCGGACTTCACATATCTTCGAAATATATTTTTTTTGTTATTATTTCGAAAATATGCAGGTTTCCTCACGATGTTTTCCTTTACCGCGGAGCACGTGATAAGTCAGCACTTAAAGTTAAAAACTTCATTGGTGCCGGCACCGGGGATCGAACTCAGGTTGCTCGAGTATATTGAATTAAAGGCGAGCGCCCGGACACTGGGCTATCACCGCTTCCATATACATATTTAAATTGAAAAGCAACCAAACTAACTCGAATCAAAAGGTCTCTTCATGCTCAGGAATTCTTAAAAAATTAATTAGCTATTTAACAGAGAGAAATGTAAACACAACTAACAAAAAAAAATTTTGTTCTATTAGACTATGTCACACAAAAAGTAACATTTTACTATATTAAGAAACTATAAGCACTATATTAAATATAATTATACTAACTACTAACACTACCTTATAGACAGATTCAAAAAATATGTACAATACTTTTTTATTTCTGATTATTTATTTTATAACTCGAACTTCAAGGACATTTAACTGTAGTGGTAGTTTAGGAAAGAGAATTATATAAAGCTATCCCACACAAATATTTTTTTACGCGTTGAGATGTGATTATCAAAATTATTATTTAATTTCAAAATCAGGCGGTAGAATATTACATAATTTTAATTAAATAGCAGATATACAATAATACAAGCAAATACAAAATATATACAAGCGACATACAAGCGATGAACGTAGTATGGAATAAGCGAAATGTGTATTAAAAATAAAAAAATGCGGTGCTTTATGGAACTTACACTCATCGAATGATGCTCCTCCCCGGGCTGCATGCGGCAAACAACGCGATGCAAATAAAAAAAACAAACAAGTTACAAAACAGCAAAACAAAAACAAAACAAAAAACAAAAAAACAAAATCCAAAAATCAAATCGTGCAAAACGCAAGCAAATTAAGTTACGGTTTCAAAATAGAACATGCATTTTTATAAACGGAAATAAAGGCACTCGTACTCGGCACGTATAAATATAATGAAGAAATTACTCGATGAAAAAATATATAAAAATAAACAATTTTTAAAGCGAGTATACATAACAGAACTTGTTTCGTACTTATGCGGCAGACCGCATTCAAGTTCGGTTCCTGTTTTGCCAAAAGCAATTTTACTGTCTCAAACTTGAATGAGCAAAATTGGGTCAACGGTTAAATAATATGGTAAGCCATGACCATGCAATGACATACTTATCCAATAATAACATAAAAAGTAAAAGTAAAGTAACAGCCTATACATGTCCCACTGCTGGGCAAAGGCCTCCTCTAAGCAGAGGGTATCAGGGCATAGTCCACCATGCGGCCCCACTGCGGATTGGCGGACTTCACATATCTTCAAAACATATATTTTTTTGTTTTTATTTCGAAAATATGCAGGTTTCCTCACGATGTTTTCCTTCACCGCGGAGCACGTGATAAGTCAGCACTTAAAGTTAAAAACTTCATTGGTGCCGGCACCGGGGATCGAACTCAGGTTGCTCGAGTATATTGAATTAAAGGCGAGCGCCCGGACACTGAGCTATCACGGCTCTATAATAACATACCTATTTATGTAAAAGGTATGTAAAAAAAATAATAACATACCTATTTAACAATTATTTAATAGCATTAGAGTTTTTTTTCTTATCAACAGGTGGAAAGCGAGTAGGCGGTTCACCCGAGTCTGTTCATTTAAATAATTACTGCTGCCAATGTGTTTCCAAAACACCTATATGATTGCACAAGGAATAACTATGTTTATTATGTATCATTTATCAGTAAATTATCAGGTCTTCATTAACAATTTTTCTTAAATAAACAGCATTCTTAAATTATTTCCTAACATTTGTTCCCTGAATTTGTTAAATATATTGTTACGAATTAGCACCTACGTATATAAATCCCGTGTACGTGCTCATTCAGATAAGTAATTAGTCTTATGAAACTATACGTTCTATGCGTTCTATATTGTGGTTATAATCTCAGGAAAGTTAGTTATTTCATTCGTCAAAAGTAACAACCTTTGTACATACGTATTATTAAATTAAACGAGAATGATAAATATCCAGCGAGTTTGATGTCACAAATAGGATGAAAGTTCATCTTCTCATAAGTATCAATGTAAGTCACGATTATTATCTTAATTGAGCCCGGTCTCAAGCTCTGTGCCCGTTTATGGGAAACGTGCATTGCAATTCCGTATTGTTACACTTAATTTTTTACGTTGCAACAGGTAAAGATATAACTGAGATGATTTTACATATGTAAATACACCAACACTACAAATCCATATATAGTTTATTACGTTATATTACATAATATGTTATTCTCTTAATAAATCTATATAATGAAATAAATTGAACATTTCTAAAAAATTTTTTAAAAGTAATGTTTTTTGTAAATATGCTTCTTTTTGCAATGAATAATCCTTGCTTTGTATAGAAACAATGAATATTCATTGTTTCAATACATCCAAGGCAGGTCCACAGATCTTGTTTAAGTATATTTAGCAATTATAATATTAAAAGAATGGGCAATAAAAATGAGTAGAAATCTGTTTGATATTTCGGTTTTGCATCAAGGATATTGGGTGCAAACTCAAACTTATATAATGCTGCTATGATATTCAAGAAACCCCGAATTAATATAAATTTAACTTATTGGATTTAAATATATCAAGAATAGCTGCTAAAAGAATAACTGGAGAAAATACACCTAAAACAAAAACTATCTAAAATTACCATGCAGCGATCTAATTGATCTAAACATGCACTAACTTGCGCAACTAAGTTTTATATAAAAATCTAAGTCAAAAATTCAGGTTTGAAATTGATTCCTGTATCTACTTTTGGCAAACATTTACATTCGTTTCGAAGAGTTTTGTGACATTTCATTGTATTGACTTAGATAGTTTCGTATCATTCTTTCCTCTTTGTTTAGACTTATCCATATTGTATTGCTATATAGTGTGTAGTGTCGTATCAATATTTAAACGTTGCCGATTAAGAGGCTTAATATTTCCTAACTATTGCCTAATTTATTGATAGTTGAAAAAAGAAGGTTGTATTAAAATCACAGTCGTTCATAAAGATTAATTTCCAGTTAAACTATGCTAACTATATAACTAGCAAAACTGACCTCCTGTAAGACTCGCTTGAGCTGCAACAGCAAGGTCTTGATGTCGACGACGTCCTGCAGAATTGACGAGGGCGCCGGCGCCGGCGACGCGCTGCCATCGCTGCCAACCTCCGACGGGGTGGCAGTCCGCGAACGCTGCAAGAGCCTCGCCGTACGAACTGGAAGACTGGCCCTGGGAACGTAAAGTATAATATAAATATTACGTATATTCGAATTCTCCGCAGTGGCATAATTATATTCGAATTCCCGGCAGTATAGGACGACCGGTGCAAATGTGCGGGAAGTCGATGGATGCAGGTGGCTCAGGATTGTACTTTGAGGAAATCTATGGGGGAAGCCTATGTTCAGCAGTGGACTCAAACAGGCTGAAATGATGATGATTATCGATTTTGTCAAGGACATTGACATTTTAAAAACTCTATAAAGGCGATGAACGGTAGGATTGGCGTCGATATCCCCAAAATACCACACGCATTTTTCGTGTTAAAATAAATAGGATTATTTATTGTTCAATACTCTGCAGTTTCACTTCATTGAAACTTGATATTTAATGAACGGTCAACAATAAAATAAGAAAGTCAACCTGTTCTATAAGGATAAAATTGCGCAGGATATGACGGGTCCGTATATGGACAAGCAAAGATAAAGACGTAGGATGTTGGTGACGTTAATAGCCTATTCAAGATAGTTTCAATATACTATTCCTTTTTAGTTGATAGCCACCATCTTTGAATGAAACTGTAGGCGATGCAGGATCAGTTCCATGTTTGTATTTAAATGCACAATATAATAAGTCTGATAATAGCCCAAGTAGTTCTAATTTCCTGATTCCTGATGCCACAGATAGGCATACTCGTCCGGAGAATTACCACGACGACGGTGAAGTGTAATTCAAAGTGATAATATTCATTCGCTTGATGTGTGAGGTATCAGGGCCTACCTTTTATGAGTTGGTAACACTTTTTTGTGCAATGTATTGTTAATGTCATTAAAATCAGGTGGCTTTTGTGCTTCTTAGCACCTTCTGACTCAAAAATATCATACTACAGTGGCGACTCATTAGACGAAATAGGTACAGTGTGAAAAAGGATACAGAGAGCATTATAATAATTGGTATTACTTTAGGAAGAAAAATTCGATATACTCATTTCTTTGAATATTAAGTTTGACGATTCAGTATTTTGGTTTTAGAGGTCTGAACCATGTGTTTATTGTGCCACATGTGCTCTGCACGTAGCTTTGGTCATAATACGGACATTTGGCTCTACTCTCCATTTTCGATGGCATGCAGCGGCATGCAGCGATCTCTTAAATAGCAGAGAGTCTTTACTTTACTTTACTTTGTTTCGTACAAATGCACGCATCGGATAGCTCAGTGGTTTTAGTGGTCAGTCATATTGCCAAACGGAGGTAATTAAAAAAAAAAAGAATAAATAATAAAAAAAAGAATACAGTATATTTCGGAGTTTCTATGCTTAGTTCGGTGGAAATGAAAAATATATCCGAGTCGAACACGACTGTTTTGTGATGACATTGTCGCGTTTGTGTTTTGTTGATTCAACCATAATTACTGTGAGGTTTTATATGAAACGATTGTTCTCACCGATATTATCTTTGCGAATTGTCTTATCTATCATGAATGGTGCTTATTATTCCAAAGACATGAAGATACCTTTACAAAAAGGTAAATGCACCACTTTGAGTAAGACCTAGTTAATCTTGGTACCACCATATGATTTCATTTACGTTGTCGAACTTGAGTCATCATTTATTCCACAAATAAGTGATAGTTGCACGTCAGTCTCAGTTGTTCTACGTGCGTATTATATCAATAACACAACAAATAACAATCAGAAGTAACGGTACGACAAATATTTTGATGTTGAAGCGAATTTTGTGGATATAAATATGTAATATTCATAGACCATTTGACCATTACTTGTAAATCATTCGTACACGTGTAGACTATAATTAATAATTATAGTCGTAGTGTAGACTACAATTAATAATTATAGTCTACCCACATACGGATGATTTTACAAGTCTTTTGAAACAGTAATAGTAATGACCCGCACCTGATTCCAATTTGGCGATAAACAGCGGGAGTGTCAGCGCCGCACCCAAATAATTAACAAAATTAGACCGAACCGAGTCATTCATTCTGCGCGAACCCTTTTTTAAATTATTGGCAAAAAGAGTAAGTTATTTCTTATTTCACTAGTTATGCTCATCCCGCTAGCTTTCTGATGGGAAAACTTTTTTGTTAATTTAAAAATTATTAAACCGATATGACAAAACTACGAGTATATCGCAGGTACAGAACAATTATCTGTTCATAAAAATACTTGTCCCGGAAGGAAATCGAACCTACGATTCGCAGCGTTGAACGCTATTGCTTAACAATTGCACCAATCGAGTCATCACAAATTATATTCTCATAAAATTACGTAGACAGATGTGACGGTGATTTGATATATGATATAACAATATTTCTTATGGGTAAGGGGCCAGCAACAATGTTACGTATATGCAACAACGTCCCACTCTTACAAAATAGCTTGTGAAATCCGTAAACGACAATTTACACCTCATGCTAAATTTATACATTTCTTAATGAAATGGCTCTTAATGAAATAGTGATATAAGCGGCCCATTCGATAGCATACAAGAGTTGAAAATTACGTGCATAATGTATAACATGTTATGCATTGATCTAAGTATTTGATTTTAATATGGCCAAGCGCGAGTCGGATTCGCACACGAAGTGTTCCGTACAATTATGCATAAAAATGCCAAAAAACCATGTCTGTTTGTATGGGTGCCCCACATAAATATTTTTTTAATTCTGGTTTTTAGTTTTTGTGTATAGCGGCAACAGAAATACATCATCTGTGAAAATTACAACTGTCTAATTGTCACGGTTCATGAGACAAACGAACAGACAGACAGACAGCGGAGTTTTAGTAATAGGGCCGTTTTACGCTTTGGGTATGGAACAATAAAAAGTATTGTTATCAGAATGGAGTGTTACAAAAGGACACCTTAAAACAAAGAGAAAAATAAGTATAAAGAAATAATAATGGTAAATGCAATTTAAATATTGAACTTTTTAATCGATAATTTAATATATATTCATCAATTAACGTTTATAATTATTAACGGTTTAAAGCACAAATCAAAACTAATTAAAAATAAAAATCCTTGTCCATTGTTTTCAAACATAATGGTTAATATATATAAATAATAAACGAAGACGTGGGTTCTATTCCCACAGCGGCGACAATCTTTTCGCACTTTTTCTACATATTTTAATTTTAATAATGGTTAATATCAAAAGAATTATAAAAATGAACTACAAACATTTATGAACAATATAACGTGTAAGAAAACGGCATTTAAGGCAATTACCGTATCTATTTCAAAAGAATTAAATTGAAAAAATATGTGTTAATAATATTGGGTTGGCAAGAAATTAGTTTCGTTTTGCACTTTTTCGATCGCGTTATGCCTGTTCCGTTATTTCAGTAAATGATCAATTTTATTCTTTTCGGGTTTGTTTGTGATGTGACATGTTTACGTTACTTTGGATACAAATTTCGCGTTATGTTTACAATTGTTAGTTTAAGATCAATTTTAATATGGGTTGGAAAAATAAGCATGTTCGGCGCATTTAACTGTTTTATTTTCATAAAGAAAAGAAAGTGGCTGAGAATCACAAAAATATATGTTGTGTGTGTATTTATGGTGTTTATTGTTTAACCGAACACACGTGTCAGAACAAGTTAAAAAATTTCGTTCTGCAGATTATTCACTTAAAGGTCTGTCATCTATCTATTTTATTATTATATAAGACGATAATGTCTTCCTTTTAAAGTTGGTCATGATAAAATGGAAGCCATAATTAAATCTGACTGCCAATTTGGTGGTTTGCTGGATTACGGAGGTGTTATGTATTTTTTTAGCTGCTTTCAGACAACAGAACGACCACGTCAGATATGTATAGCCTTATAACTTATGACATAGGAAGCAATTAAAGAGAAAGGGTCAGAATTGACACATTAGCCAAGGAATGGTAAATAGAATAATCTGGGATATTTTGGACGTTTTCGTTATTTGTTTTAACCATTTTTTTATGTGAGACAGTGGTTAATAATGTGGGCCCCGGCTACCTCACTCACCAGACGAAACGCACTTCTTATTTACGCCGGTCTTCTGTGAGGTCGTGGTACTAACCCGGACGGACCTGCCCATTCGTGCAACAGCGAACACTGTTTCGTGGCCCTACCACCGTAAAAGGGTGCCATGACTTAAAGTGAATCTCACTCTCATAACGACTTGCGATTGGTTCCAGTAAAAATCTTCTTTTGTTTCTGCTGCCTTAATGTAAAATAAATTTAACCAAGTGAAGATTCGTTTTTACAGTGTCTCTTTTATGTTATGGTATTAGATACTACCCAAGATACTTCACCCAGCTTCCAATCATAACACTATCAGCGCAAATATAGGTACACATTTATTACATGCACCATCAAGCTTGTTTTATGCCTTATTTTGTTATTCAATAGTCTTCACGTTCTGTGATTGTTCGTTGCATTACGTACTCACGACCGTTGGCGTTGTTGGCGAGCGAATCTCTTTTCGTGTAATGCACGAGTGACAACGTCAAAAAAAACAAACGGCGGGCGAAACTGGCGGAGAAAGGAAAATGACGGCATTAGCAACAGGTTACGAAACTAATGACTAATGGACCGCGGACACGAATTACGAGCACACCAAGCTATAATACAATCCCATATGAAGTTATGTTATATAGTTGTGTACCGCTTTGGATCGGATCAATCTAATTTAACACCTAAACGATGAACATAAAACACTAGCAAATACAAAAGTTAGTAAGACTGCAGAACGACCTTATAGCGTGGGAGCGGGCTTTGAATTTTATCTGCACATTTCAGTGTAGAATGGTCACCTTGCTCTATATCTTGAGTCTATTCATTTGTGACGAAAACGTATAGCACTTTCGACCGCCTACAACTGGCCTCGCCAATGGTTCCGTTCGAATTGGTTCGCAACGAAACAATACGTTATACATTAATTCACTACTCACATTACTCCGCGTTTGTTACCAAAGACATAAATCCATTCGAAAACTATCATCGAGTAAACACTTGGAACACGCGCAACAGGTTTCAATCGCGTATCAGACTTTACTAGACACCCGATAAAGGCGCACGATATAGATACGGTATTGATAATGTATTCTATTCTATTGAATTCGTAAATGAATATGTTCGCGAAGCTATTTGATTGGCTGTTGGCGCGACCTGTACTGCTTGGCGCGCTGGCTGCGGAGGCTCGGTGCCGGGCTGGCGGACCGGGAGGGCTCGGCGACGTGCAAGTCTGTCTTCTGGCGTCGGGCGCCTAACGCGAAGCCGGGGCTCGCCGACGTGGCGCAAGCCGGACGCATGGCGGAGGATTGTCACGGCGCGCACGCACACGCTAGACTGAGGCCCGCAGCGCGCGCGGCCGCCTCCGCCGCACCAGCACGAGAATCAGAGCCCGCCGCCGCGACCCTACCCGCTGATGCCTAATAGCACGGCAAATGCGATTTCTTTTTGTTACACTCTGTTTCGAACCGGCATCGGTATCGCAGTACACCCGTCCACAGCAGCGACGGCGCCGCGTCGATGTTTCACGTCATGTCGCTGATGCCGTGTGGCGAAAGAACCGAGCGTACGCTGTTCGGTCCGAGCGGAGCATGTCGGGTGACGCGGCAAGGTGTGTCGGACAGGCGAAACATCAAGTGACACTAATGCTCGTGGGCGCCGTGCGCGTCACGCCCGCTGCCCCTCGCTGGTACCGCTGAGCACTTTCTTTCGCACATTTCGCACGGACTGGGCTTGCAGCGAAACCGACAGTTTACGAACCCGCGAGTCAGACATTGTTATGCTTAACGGAGGGCGTGTTTGTTCTGGTCACGGGCGAATAATCGACCTTCGTCGGCAAACGGGTACGGGTTAATGTCAGAGTCACAACGCGTTTGTTTATTTTGTGAAGGGCCGCCGCCGGTACAGATGTCCTCACTCGGCACCGCGCAAGCGCGCGGCCGCTCAATAACTTCCCCCTCTCAGCTGATTCACAGACGACGGCTATAGAACTCCATTTATATTTTATATCGCGTATTTGAGTTAATGTACGATAATTTTGCTTATACTGCACGAAATACGCTTCTACAGAGACAAACGGCAGATACATATAAAACTTATTATAGCAAAAATTCTTCGCGTTCAATAATCCACTCAATTAATCTATGAATATATTTTTAAATATTTTTCATTATTTATTTGTTTATTTCTTAATTTATTTCGAATTAAATTTTTGACACTCTCCTTTGACCATGGATACAGTAACATAAATCTCTACAAATAAAATTATAGAGGTCTGCTGTTCTGCATCACGGTAAAACTACTGGATAGATTCTAGTTAACTCTTTTAAGTTATATTTCTTACACACTATTTATTCTATTTCTTTTAAAACACGTGAATTGTATACACCGTTGTGAAATAATGATTATGGAATCATAACGGAGACTGTCAAGCCGCTCTCGTTGGCGGGTTGTCAGCTAGTAGACGCATTAGTTGGCCCAGTCAGCGGAGCGGAGCGCTTTTGTCCAAAACTAACGGCACTACGCACATCTCATTCTATCCATCTGAGCGCCAAGGTAAGGCGCCTCAGGAATCTAAGCGAATTATAAAAGTCACAAGGCCCAAGCGTCTTAGAGTTAACTGGGTGACATACTTGAATAATCTTTTTATTTTTGCCAGCAGTACTTGCGCCGATGCCCTACAAATCCATCGTCTTATTTTTATTTATAAGGATTCTTAAAAGTATTGCTATTTGAGATTTTTTATTAGAATCTCGAAAAGATCCCTTTTTTGTTTACTCATTGTAGAGGTGTAAAAGCTCATTCTTTTTTATAAGAAGTTCGTATTTTATAGAGTTTCTACGTTCCACACAAGCGATAAATAAGAACAAAGTTTACCTCATAAGGAATGTGAATTTTTCAAAGGTTATTATGGAAGTTAGTTAGTTACGTCGTAAACAAATTGATATCATAAAATCAACCCATTAAACACAAGAAATTGTTCTAGAGGTTTATGAGAATTTTTGTTGACGTATTGCACTAAAATTACTCGCAATATAGAAAATACAGAAAGAGTACAAATATTCCGCAAAACGTTACCGCCCATTGCACTGCTTTTAATATTAATCACTTATGTTAAAACTGTGGCATTAGTTCAGTCGTGCAAGCTTAACATTTAGAACAAGACAGACAGACACGTGGGCGATACTTAAAAATCTAAATTTAGACACAGAGTTCAAATTAGTTCGGTCCAAGTCAAGTCGGGACTGCAACACAAAATGGCCGCGTGGCAATACGAGCAGTTATTTCCTGCAATAAAAGAGCGTGAACAACGCTGCACGCACTATTTTAATTACTCTGTGACCTTAATATTTTTGCTGTCGATTCTTATATTATGAAAATAATTCATTTCGAGCCGATTTAGCATGTTCATAGTTTGATGTGTGGCCGCCATAATAACAACGATATTGCTATGGTTTCTAAGACATATCCTGTGAAATTTACAAATTTTGATGTATAAAGGCAGAAATAAGGAATTTGAACGATCAAGCAACACCTGTTATTATAAATAATAAAACATAATTGTGAAAAGATAAGTAAAGATGGCGATAGTTTAAGTTTCGCCTAAGATTATACTATAGAACAATAAATTATGCTACTGTCTCAAATGCGGCACTTCTATGCCTTATATACATAAAATTATCTTCTGTACAAGTAGCGACCAACTGTCTAACACAAGTGCTAATAAACTTGTATGTGTCCAATTTTCAAAAGGTTGTCAACGCATCTGCAACCCTCGGGTGTAACAGACGTCCATGGGCGGCAGTATTCACTTAACATCAGGTGAACCGTCCGCTCGCTTGGCAACTTTTCACATAAAAAATGTGACTTTAAGGAAATTTTGTTATGCTTAGGTAAGTAGTAATTACCGCCATCCGTGGGAATCCACAACAGCAGTAGAGATCCATTGCCAATCCTTAAGTAGATGGTCCTGGTTACCTTACACATCAGACGAAGTGTAAAAAAATATAATACTTCTGTTTAACGATGGTAAAAGCAAACGTATTGAAGCATAAGTTTTGCTTTAGGCTCTACCGCAATAATTGATAACTTAATTGCTTAGTACCTGGAGGACCGGAATTTTTTTTTGGTAAATCACGTATTTTGGAAATAAAAAAATAAAAAATAAAGAAAATGATCTGGTATAGAAAAAAAGTAAAAAAAAAAAAGTGTGTAAATGATCGTGATACGAACCGTAGCCGTCTGTTTTGGGGCCGTCCCATTACCGACCGAGCTATTATAACATTTTTTTTTGCGGCGCAATTTCTGTATGTAAATATACTGTCATGATAAAAGGACATTTTTTAAAAATGAAACCTAGCTAGATCGATTTTACGCCCCCGAATCTACGCACATACTAAATTTCATGAAAATTGCTGGAGCCGTTTCCGAGATTCCGATTATATATATATATATATACGGGGTGTAAGGGGGGCCAGGGGTGTAAGGGGGGCAGCTTACATTTAAGGCTCCCTACCGTCAACCTCACCTGCACGTGGTACATCCTGCTAATCTACGGACGAGGCTCTGGCGACCGAATCATGGCGGTATAACCATATAATATTGCTGGAATCTATAAATATCAATCCTGACAGCGGGCAGCAGCGCCGTCAGAGAAGGATTCCAACAACTGCGGTCACCAACCCGCCTAACAAGCGTGGTGACTAAGGCAGATTTCCCCACAATGAAAACTAACTCAGATCTAAGACCCCTAGTTCCCGGTGGTTGCACTATTCCACGCCACAGTACGGACGCTCTCTGTGGTTGAACGAACACCTTTCCGAACTGGAAGTAGAGCTAAGTCATATTAACTGGCACATAGTGGGTCTATCAGAAATCCGAAGACAGGGCAAGTCGCTCAGAAGCAGCGTTGTAGAGGTTGGCTAGGGTAGCGTACCTCGTATTAAAAGTGAGCGAAAGATACTCCCTAAAAGTGATGCAGGTTTACGCCCCAACGACTTCACATCCTGACGAAGACGTCGAAGCCATGTACGAGGACGTAGCAAAAGCTATGTCCCGTACCAAAACCTTCTACACTGTTTTTATGGGTGACTTTAATGCCAAAGTGGTAGTACGCGAGAATGGCGAATCGAGAGTAGGAGCATTCGGCTATGGGAGCAGAAATCACAGGGGGCAAATGCTAGTAAACTTCCTCGAGGATCAGGGGCTATTTCTGATGAACTCCTACTACCAGAAAAAGCCTCAGAGGAAGTGGACCTGGCTTAGCCCCGATAAGGTGACTAAAAATGAGATCGACTTCATTATGTCCAATAAGCGCCATACATTCAGGGATGTCTCAGTGATCAATAGGGTTAATACCGGTAGAGATCACCGTCTTGTAGGAGGCACCCTGAATATAAATATCAAGATCGAACGTGCGCGACTGGTGAAGGCGACTCTGAGACCATCACTGCCCCAAGTTGAAGCTAAATGTAAAAATTTTCAGCTAGAGCTACAAAATCGATTCGCCTTGCTGGAAAACACGCAGGACATTGACGATGCTATTGGTAAATAGTCTAACGCGGACCATCCGTGAAGTGGGAGAAAAATATTTTCGACCAAAGAGCACTGGACGAAAGTCGAAGCTCTCAAACGAGACTCTGGCGGAGATGAAGATGAGACGAGAGGTGGTATTTGCGACAGCTTCTGAGCGTCAGGTACTTAACAGAAAGGTTAAGAAACTGATAAGGCGAGATTGTAAACGAGCGAAGACCCAAGAGATTAAAAATCTTATATCGCGCAACGGGGGCTCAAAAGTCTTTGCTAAGTTTCAAACCTCCTGCTGTCACCTGTCAAAACTCACAACAGCTCACGGAACCACCGTCACCTCTAAACCAGAGATTCTCGCTGAAGTCGAAAAGTTTTATAGGGAGCTATATACTTCCCAAGTACCTCCACCTCACTCCTACAATGCGGATGACCCTCGAGGTAGACTAACACGCCACCTGTCAGACGAGTTTCCCGACATCGACATGGGCGAGATTAGTATTGCCCTCAGACAACTTGCGAACAACAAAGCTCCGGGAGAGGACGGAATTACATCAGAGCTATTGAAAGCAGGAGGCACACCAGTATTGGCGGAGCTGGCTAAGCTCTTTAATTCTGTCCTCCATAATGGCATTACACCAGAGGCATGGAGCAGAGGTGTAGTTATGTTGTTTTTCAAGAAGGGTGATAAGACTTTGTTGAAAAACTATAGACCAATATCACTCCTGAGCCATAATTTGTTCTCGAGGGTTATAACCCTCGAGAACAAATTATGAACAAATTATTCGTTATAACGAATCGTCTCGCCCAATAATTCGATGACTTCCAGCCCGTGGAGCAGGCCGGGTTTCGTAAAGGATTCAGCATAGTGGACCACATACATACACTTAGGCAAATAATTCAGAAGACCGAGGAATACAACCAGCCTCTATGCCTAGCGTATGTGGATTACGAAAAAGCCTTCGATACAATCGAAACCTGGGCTGTTCTAGAATCCATGCAGAGATGCCTAATTGACTGTCGATATATCCAAGTGTTGAGACGTCTATTTGAGACCGCAACAATGTCCGTCCAAGTACAAGGTCAAAGCACAAGGCCAATCCAGTTGCATCGTGGGGTAAGACAGGGGGATGTGATTTCCCCGAAACTGTTTACCAATGCATTAGAGGAC